AATTTGGAACTATGGGCTTCTTTGAGGATTTGTTTCTTCAATTCACTGTCATTTGGTACACATAACCATCCCTGAAACTTGAGTATGTCATTCTCAAAATTGAACCCCAGTCTAGGTTTGGAATCCTACTCATCCACTATTTTCTTTAGGAATTCATTCTGCAATTGTCTATCTTTGATCTCTTCAAATGTTACTAGTTCATGCAATACTATTTTCTGCCTAGTAAGTAAACAAGCTAAGTTTCCTATTGATTTCCGACTAAGAGCATCGGCCACCGTGTTAGCTCTTCCAAGATAATACATAATTTACAGATCATAATCTTTAATTAGCTCCAGCCATCGACAGTATCTCATGTTTAGCTCTTTTTGGATAAAGAAGTATTTAAGACTTTTTTGATCCGTATACACCTCACATGTCGCCTCTTACAGGTAGTGGCGCCAAATTTTCAATGCAAAAATCACTGCAGCCAATTCCAAATCATGAGTTAGGTAACTCTTCTCATGCAGTCTTAGCTTACGGGAAGCATAGGCAATTACCTTTCCATTTTGCATCAACACGCACCCCAAGCCTTTATAAGAGGCATCACTATAATAGTAAAACCATTTGTTTCGGAGGGTAAAGTGAGAATCGGTGCTGTCACAAGTCTTGTCTTCAATTCTTGAAAAGCTGCCTCTCTTTGGTCACTCCATTCGAGTGGTACCCCCTTTTGTGTCAATTGAGTAAGTGGCAAGGCAATTTTTGAGAGGTCTTTCACAAATCTGCAATAGTATCCAGCCAGGCCTAAGAAACTACGGACCTCTATCACATTCATTGGTCTCGGCCAATTTACAACAGCCTCTATTTTCTGTAGATCAACAGAGATACCATCTTTCGTTATCACATGCCCCAGAAACATCACGCTATCCAACCAGAACTCACATTTTGACAATTTAGCATATAGTTTCCTCTCTTTCAACGTTTGAAGAGTAAGTCTCAAGTGGCATTCATGTTCCTCCTTCCTTTTGGAGTAAATCAGGATGTCATCGATAAAAACCACAATGAATTCATCAAGGAACGACTTAAAAACTCTGTTCATTAAATCCATAAAAGCAGCTGGTGCATTTGTAACTCCGAAAGGCATAACAAGGAACTCGTAATGGTCGTATCTGGTTCAAAAAGCAGTTTTCTCCACATTTTCAGCTTTAACTTTTAACCGATGACATCTGGACTGCAGGTCAATTTTTTAAAATACCTGTGCTCCTTGTAGCTGGTCGAACAGATCGTCAATGCGTGGCAACGGGCACTTGTTCTTTATTGTCACCTTATTTAACCCACGATAATCAATGCAAAGCCTTAGGGTTCCATCATTCTTTTTAACAAATAACACTGGAGCACCCCACAGAGACGTACTAGGCCTGATAAATTTCTTGTTTAACAATTGTTACAATTGAGTTTTCAATTCTTTTAACTCGGTAGTCGACATTCGGTATGGGGTCTTAGAAATTGGTTGGGTGCCTGGTACTATCTCAATAGTAAACTCGATCTCTCTATCAACTAACTACCCCGGCAAATCATCTGGAAACACATCTGAAAAATCTCTCACCACAGGAATGTTATCCACTTTAGGTTTAGCAGTAGCTGGTGCCATTAACACAGAACATAAAAATCCTTTACAACCCTTATTAATCAATCTATTCGCTTTCATGGAGGAAATCAAATATGGGGGAGATATGAAACCATCCTCGTTAAATGTAAATTCAGGCACTTCAGGCAAATGAAACACAACTTGTTTAGTCACACAGTCAATAGTAGCACAATACCTCGACAACCAATCCATTCCCAGAATTACATCAAAATGCATGATATTTAAAGACAACAGATCAACATATAAACTCATATCCCCAACATTTACATCACATGCGGGATACACATACGCACAAGTCATAGAGTCCCCAGTTAGAGAAGATATAGCTAACAAATAAGGCATTGGTTCCGATTTTTGAGTTAATTTTGAAGCAAATGCATAAGACACGAAGGAGTGTGTAGACCCCAAATCAATGAAAACACATGCATCCTAAGAACAAATAGGAAGAATACCTGACACAATCGTCTCCGTCGTCTGCACATCCCCAGTGCCAATGCAAAAACCCATCCTTGCTTTAGAGTTTCCTTTCTCACAGCTGATTTCAAATTTACCCTTGGTGTTGATAATGATGCAGTTGAGCTAGCCCTGGGCTGGCTTGTGCTTTGGGACACTAAAGGGCAATCCTTAATCATATGGCTTGTTTTTTCACACCGAAAACATGCACCAGAAATTTTGCGACAAACTCCCTTATGTCTTTTCCCACACTTTGGGCAGATGGGTGTATCGTTCCCTTGGCTTGAGCTAGTAGATGATCCCGTATTCTGCCTCTTGTTGGAGTGTTAAAGTTGTTCTGACCCTTCTTGAAATTGGATCCCGGTCTCTTACTCTTCCATTCAATTATCGGTGCCTTTGCTTGTCTTAGTGCAGCAACAGTTGCTTCAGCCATGATGGCTCTATCTAAGACATCAACATATTTTTCTAGCTTGAGTACGTTAATTCGATCAAGAACCTCAACATCCAATCTGCCTTCAAACTTTCTAGCTTTCTTATAATCGGTATCTACCATATGTGGCGTATACCACGTAAGCTCTGTGAATTTGGCTTCATACTTCGCTACCGACATGGAATCCTGCTTCAACTGTTCAAATTCCGTTACCTTCCAATGCCTTACACACTGTGGAAAATATTTTTCATAAAAGGCCTCTTTAAACTGTGCCCAAGTCATTGTAGTCTATTGATTCCAAACAATCATCTACCACCTTCTCGCTTCCTCTTGCAGAGTGAAGGTTGCTAGCAAAACCTTTTGCTCTTTGGTACATGGCAATACTTCAAACAAGTTTTCAATCTCTAGTATCCAGGCTTCATCTTTCAACGGTTTAGGTCCTCCTGGGAAAGTAGGTGGTTTCAGTTTGTTAACCTTCTGGGTTAAGGTAATACTGTCACCAATATTGGGTGGCTCCACTTGACTTGGCGGCGAAGGAGGAGGTGGAAGGGGCTGTCTCAGTTGTTGACTTAACGCTTCTATCAATAGCTCTACATTCGCTCTAACCAATCCATTCTTGCATCAGAAGATTCAGATGTCTCTGTAGGTCTTGTCTCTTCCATTGGACTACATATAAACAGAGTGATAATAAACATAGGACACATTGAGTTTACACTTGCATTGTTATTACATAGGCACATAAAGAACCCATACACGCTCACACATGCAAATAAAATGTCCTAATTTCTTTTCTAGGACATCCTATAACTCCGTTGGACGTGTGTGTGCGGTATAACTAGTGCTCTGATACCACTCTGTCACAACCCAAACCCGCCCCTAAAAGTTTGGTATCGTAACCGACCAATAATCCGTGATTACCAAAGGCCTACCTATATAAATCAAACAAACGGGGCTAGCGGAAACTAAGATATACGAATATAAATCGTCCAATGAGATGTGAACTCATATGAGACAAAATGCATTACTGTAGATATATATATACATATGTACATCAAGGTAGCACAAGTTTATCAAAATACAACTAAAATAGGGGAGACATTCCCATCGACTACGGATATACCAGCGGCAACCAACCATTACACGGGAGTGATTTCAAAAGGGTTCTCACTGGACCACCTATGTGCTTCAACAGATAGGAACCTTGCTGTGAGGCACAAAAGGTAGCTTGACCAAAACGGAGGTAAGATGTAATTTATGCGTAATGCTCCAAACATTTCCCCTGTTCTCCGCACGTGTGGGCCTACCTGCTGCATATGCACTAGTGCCTCCCACACGTGCAGTCACCCGCTGCCACACGTGTGGTTCTGGGTGTCCAAAATTGAAAATTCTGCTTTGTTTTTGTGAGCTCTCTCTCTTCAAAACTCAAGCCCAAGTTGACCAAATCAAAGCCCAAAAAGTTATCAAACATGGTGTATAAACAAATACGAAGTTCTAACCAAGAATAGAACTTTAAATTCAAACCCAAGTCACACAATCACATGAGCAACTTTAAAGTTGAGAAGAAAACAAAACCTATGCATATGGGAATTCTATGTTTCAACAAAACCATGGAAATCTAACTTAAAATCATGCAAGACCAACTAGCTAAGCCTTATTCATGCCAAGATTTGGAGAATTCCTCTTGTTAGGGTTTGTGACACAACTTACACTACCAAATCTCACATTCTCTCCTTAAATTCCATGAGTTCAAGATGAAAATTATTCTCATGCAAGAAATTATGAAGAATTCTTACCTCAATGAGTTAATTTTTTGAAGTTGTTTCAAATTCTCCTCTTCTCCTTTTCTTTCTCTTCTTCTCTCCTTGCTCTCTAGAATTCTCTCTCTCTCTCTCTCTCTCTCTCTCTCTCTCTCTCATTTGAGTTCATCATAGATATATAAATTATCTAATTTTACTTAATGTGAATTAATGCATTTAGAACCACATCACTTGAATTAATTATCTAATGAATTAAATTATTTCTTACTGGCAACTAAGTTAGCTAAACCCTACTTTAAGGGGAATTAGGCTCTACCCACCTAGTCCATTAGTTAATTGACAACTTTACAATTTAACAAATCAGACAAGTCTTTTTCACAAATTAATGTATCCGTCAAATGAAACATGGTGCACATAACAAATAAATAAACATAAAATGCACGTATAAGTACATAAGTAAGATTAACCATAAAATTAACCGCTAATTAAGAGATGGGTGTTGCAGATATATTTGTTTCTAGTCTTAATTTCAAGGACATTACACCGACACTTTATATACTTTGGTCCTTGCATCATTTTGTTTTTTGTAATTTTATTTGGCTCGATTTTGATATTAAATTTACGATTTTGTATCAATTTGATCCAATTGATTGCTCTTGCAAGCATTTTTTCTTATGGAAAATGTGCACGTGAGAAACATGTGTTTGGTTCATGAATTTGGAAAGAAAAAAGGAAAATGGAAAGGGAAAGGGAAAGGTAAGTGAAATGAGTATCAAATATAACTAAATCTCACACACTTTTTCTCTTTCATTTTCCAAATCCCTACCTAAATCCAAAAACCAAACACAATTTAAAAAAATGTACATACCATTCCTAATCTTAGTGGGGAAATTGCAAATCAATGGTAGAGTAGAAAAATAATTGCACTATTGTTGACATCCCATGTAAGGCCCCGATATTTATAACCCATTTTATAATTATCAATCCACAATTGTTAGTCAATTTCATTGTAGAAGTGTGGATATAGGAAAAAGAAATACAAAGGGACCCCGTAAAACAAATGCATATCTTTGTCATAAATTCCTGGTTATATGCATTAGATTACAATACGTGTAAAATAAAAAGAGGGAAATACATCAAAAGTGCCCTACAGCCTAGATTACAAGCAAGATAAAATCCTATTCCGAACAAGTAAGCTCGGTAGCTATCATCTTGTAATCATAAAAAAAGTGCTCCAGTGCCCTGATAAGATCTTCACAACTCTTTAGTGGGGTGCAAGCACATCATCATAACCTGGAATTTTGAATATCCAGCCCATAAAAGGGAGTAAGCTTTTACGCCCAGTAGAAATAATCTTAACGCAATAGATAGATGTTTATTATGATTATAATCATGCAATGCAATGCCATGCTCAAGGCTCTTTACTTCCTTTGAAAACTAATGCTCCATGTATAATTTCGCCCCATGTTTGACTCTAACACTTGGACCTTTATTATACATTCAAAATCATTTTTTGTGACAAAATCCATAGTACATTCTTCAAAATATTCCCACATTTACTGGCCACCAAGCATAGAGAGGGAATTGGGCACCTATCATATTTTAAAATAACACTTCCATATTTACCGCCGCCAAGTATGGAGGGGCAATTAGACACCCATTACATTTTGAAAACATCTCCATATTTACCGGCCACCGAGTTCGAAGGGGCAATTGGACACCCAACAATATATTCAACAATATCCCCCACATTTACTGGCATCAAGCATGGAAGAGCATTTAGGCACGTTAACACACATAACGCATTTTCAAAACCGCACACACTTTTAAATAACCCGATACTTGATCAAAAACCATGAGAATGCAATGTAACGCGTGAGTTTTCAAATGTTATAATTTGCCTAGGGTTCAATTTCCATCTTACAATGAATTCCATGATAAACTTCATCGATAGTCAAAACATTAACTTCTATCAAAACATTAAATAGATAACATATAGCGATCCCGGGTTTACCCTTGTTGTACAGTGATCCGGACATGTGTCCGTGGATGTTGGTAGTTGATTACTATTTTGTTTACATCCTTTTTTCTACGTATTTGAGTTATAGGATGTGTTGGGCGGATTTGTTTCAGGTTGGTTGAGTTTAGAAACCAAAACTAGTTGCCCAGATTTTTGGCCTGTACGCTCGAGCGGGGGTTTGGGCGCTCGAGCGGGTAATACACCCATCCAGTATTTTCTGTGCAGTGTTGGACGCTCGAGCGTGGGATTGGCCGCTCGAGCGGGGTTGTCTGAGTGCCGCTCGAGCGTAGGGTTGCTGCACAGTGGTAGAGCAATTAATTATTAAATGTTTATCCCTCTTCTTAAAAGTATATGTTTGTAAAGAAAGAAGTATATCATTGCAAATCCTAAAAGCAATAGATTCATCATTGCTCTCTTCAAATCCATAACCCACATGCACTGCCTCACATCCCCTATTACCTCTCCCTATGTGGCAATTAAGATCAACGGCTATAAAAAAAATCCCTCTTTGCTAGGTATCCTATGTACTAACCAATTCAAATCCTCCCAAAATTATCGTTCCATAGATTCATCTAATCCTATTTGGGGAACATAACTGCATAGGCATTAATTATATTTAGTGTCTCTTCTCCTAACACTAATTTCACTCATATTCTCTCCTTTTCTTTTTAACCAAACATTTCTTCTTTTAGATTTTTTACTTTTTATCTACAATTGTCTACACTCCATTTCCGCAATTCTCTTTTCCAATATTTTTTCATTTTTCCTAAATTTTTTCACCACCCATTTAGTTTCTCATAAACAAATAAAAGCAATTCCCCATCTAATCATGGCATCTACTAATTCCATCCATTTACATATATTCCGCACTTGTCAATGTATCCTACTCGTCAAACAAAACAATACTTGGAGCCGTTGATACTTTAAAAAAATAAAAAAATAAAAAAATAAAAAAATAAATAAAGCATGAAACAGTAAAATCAAAGAGAAACAGTCAAAACTAAACCCTAATTACTAAACAAATCGCTCTATAGTACAAACGAAGCGAAGTTATGACGAAATTAAGCAAGCAAATTAAAATAAAATAAAATAAAATATAAAAAAACACCTAAATTAGAGTGAATTGAAGAGGAGAAAAACAGAAGAGATACTTACAGATTTGATGTCACCGTAAAAAATAACAATTTTGTATTGAATGGGCAATTTTATGTTTGTTGCCTTAATAACAATTTTATGTGGTTCAAATGAACAAAAATCAATCATATTAAATCAAAATAGATTGTCAGAAAAACAAACTAGGGAATTCGACATTCATATTGCAATAATAAAAAAAATATATTCTAGTCCAAAAAACAAATTTATTCTATCTCCAACTATGCTCATTACTCACAATCAAAGGATTTCAAGTTGAAAAGAACAATTAAAATTAAAAACAACCTACCTCGCAATAAAAACATGTTGCTTTATTGTAGCAAGGAACTCTCTAACTCCTCCATTGTAGAAGTAAAGGGGAGGAAAGGCCAATCCTGAAAATATTTTCAGCTGTAACAGATGCCATTGAAGGTAAATAAAGTGCTAGTGAAAAAAAATCATATAGCATAGACTAAGGATTCATCTGATGATCTATGTGCCATAGATGCTTCAACCACATACAGGCAATTAGCATTATGAGAAACCATCTGACATTAGTACAAGTGCAAAGGATAACACAATAAAAAACGATAGATCATACTAAAACAAATATGATGCAAACATTATAACCATAGCTTTACAAAAATGACAAAGACCCGAAGCAAGGTCAATTGACAAGATCATGAAAGAAAAATACAAAAAAGGATAGAACTCAATTCCCCTAAAGCTACTGACATAAAGAAATGACATGAGACATTCTAAACATCACTAGAGGTCCCATTCATCAAGAGGCAGCATTGGAGCTTAACTAAACCCAGCTTAAAAACAAACATGGAGCTCTCTTGAGATAGTTCAGTGAAAGTTTGCTCTGTTTCCAGTTTTAGTAAAGCATCTTGAGGTGGAGATTTAGCCTTTGGTCTACAGAATATAAGTACATTTGAGTGGTAGACTACTAAAAGGAACAATCAACCAAAAGAAATTGAGTCCAGCATGAAGA